ATAATAATAGGACTAAATCACAAATGCACTGTTTGATTCAAGACAATTACTGTATTGGAAAAGAAACTGTGCTATTAATGTGCTATTTATAGCATAAAACACCCTTTTCTGTTTTGTTGACCTCCAAATACATAGGATATCTATCTGTATAATCTCTAGCTGGCGTTATTTAGTATAATTTGTGCCGCTTCCATACAAAAGCATATCTCAAACCAATTTAAGATGTACACAATAGCAATATGTTAATAGGAAGAGGTGGTACTCAATATTCCGTTGTGTCATTATCCAGTTTTGCTCATCCATTGTTGAAAACTAAAGAACATACAGGTAATCCTCAACTTATGACAACAATAGAGCCCAAAATTTATGCTATTAAATGAGAAATTTGTTAAGTGAGTTTTGCCCCATTTTATGACTTTTCTTGCCACATTTGGTAAGTGAATCATTGCAGCTGTTAAATTAGTAACACAGTTGTTAAGTGAATCTGGCTTTCTCGTTGACTTGGCTTGTCAGAAGGTCACAAAAGACAATCACATGACTCCCGGGACACTGCAACCATCATAAATGTGAGTCAGTTGTCAAACATCCGAATGTAAATCACGTGACCATGGGAATGCTACAAAGGTCATAAGTCACTTTTTTCAGTGATGTTGTAACTTCGAACTGTCACTAAATGAACCGCTGTAAGTCAAGAACTACCTGCATTTCATTATACCCATTCAGGTTGGGGACTTTTTTTGATATTTTAAGGGTGCACAAAATGACAGATGGGTTATAATAAACAAAAAATAAAAATACATGTATTGCTAGGGTCAAGTTGTCTATGCAGTATTTGTTCATTTTTTCTGCTGCAAAAGATCACAAGGCATCCTATGGCTTTCTCACAGCAAGCAGTATTGTTCTTTTTTGGAAAAACTCACTCTGCTGGTGATAAAAGAGGTCATCCCTTTGGAGTCATTCATGATCTTTCAAGGGTTCTTTCGATTGCACTACTAAATGCTAGTTTTGCTCAAATGCTAGAAGCTAGTTTCGGTAATTAGGGTGAGCCATCTGTAGGATTGCTAGACCCTCCACCAAGATCCTGAAAGGTCCAAGTGAAGTGGAAAAGCCAGGATGAACTACACAGCCATAATTGGCTGAATGAGTTGCTCCAAAGAACAAGAGTACCAGAGGTAGTATTCAGGAGGTTCTGATCAGTTCTGGAGAATCAGTAGCAGAAATTTTGAGTAGTTCGGAGAACTACTGACTGGCCCCGCCCCATCTATTCTCCGCCTCCTGAGTCCCAGCTGATTAGCTGGATCTTCTTTTGTTGCCCTACACAGGAGAAAGGAGCTGGAAAGCAGGTTAGTGGGATGGGGAGGGAATGGGGATTTTGTAGTATCCTTCGCCTGAAATGGAGTGGGAATGGAGATTTTTTATCCTTCCCCCTGCCATGCCCACCAAGCCAGGCCCACCAAGCCAGGCCCACAGAACCAGTAGTAAAAAAAATTTGAATCCCACCACTGAAGAGTACCCACTGTTGCAAGTAGCCTCACCATCAAGTTGATATGCCATGTGATATGTTGTGAGCGAGCGAGAAGAAGGAGGAGCAAATACAGGCATGTTGCATAAAATGGCCTCAGTAGATGAATACTGAAAGCCAGCATGGTCGATTCAACAGAGATATAGAAAGTTAGGATATAAATCCAAAGGGCTGAGCAGATGGACAGATAATCAGAGTCAGACTCAGCAATCTGCCACATTATGCACTAAATATTATGATAATTGAAACATCAGGACAAAGAAAACTGGTATAAACTATTACTGTGGACAACTTATTTCTTAGTACCATAAGGCAATTGTGGCACTATAATGTCCTGTTCTTGCACTGGATGACATAAAATAATATCTCTACAAGCAATTTGTTTTTCTTTGTATTCCAGTGATGATGATGTCTACCGGCTTTATAATCTAGATGTCTTCGGATATACCATCCACAGCAAAATGGGCATTTATGGTTCAGTGCCCTTACTCTTAGCACATAAGCCTGATCAGACAGTTGGAATCTTTTGGCTAAATTCCTCAGAAACATTGGTGGAGGTTTCTACCAAAGCTTCAATGGAGGTGAGATGCACTATGTTCTGCATGGAAGTATAGCTACCTTGATTAAGAATTAATAACATTATAAAGCATCTTCCAGCCACCTGAAAATCTCATGTTGAGATGGACAACATTGATCATCTAGCCATCTTGGTCAGTGGAAGTTAATCATTAATGCTGGAGAACTTTTTTTTAGATTTTTTAAAAATCTTACCTTTATTATTTTTTAATACAGTAAATGCATTTACCATTATTTTTAAACATTTGTATATGTTTGTTTTAAAGGTTTTACCTTCCCAAATTCCAGACATGTCCAAGCAGAGGATAGTGCCTCAAACTGATGTGCGCTGGATGTCAGAAAGTGGAATCATTGACATATTCATCTTAAAGGGACCCAGTCCTTTTGATATTTTTAAGCAGTATGGACAGCTAACAGGTATTGGCTTATGAAGAAATTTCCTTTATCCCTTTCTTGTGGTCTCCATAATTAATCTACCAACTATACAATATATGGCATGGAAACAAGTCTTGATTATTTATACTAAGTGGAAGAATAAAAATGAAATATTTATCATTTAATGTGTCTCCAGTTATATTTTGAATGGCTGCACAATTTTCTCTGTCTTCCTTTTCCTCATAGGCACTCAGGCTCTGCCTCCCCTCTTCTCTCTTGGGTACCATCAATGCCGCTGGAATTATGAAGATGAGGATGATGTAAAAAAAGTGGATGCAGGTTTTGATACCTTTGACATCCCCTACGACGTCATATGGCTAGATATCGAGCACACTGATGGCAAACGATACTTCACTTGGGACAAGAAGAGATTTCCCAATCCTGAGAAGATGCAGAAGCAGCTACTTATGAAGAAAAAACGCAAGGTACGTAATGCACTAAAAATAGAGAGAAAGTAATCTATCTCTGTGGCTTTTTGTGTCCACCAGTGCCTATTGAAAGCATCCATTTCCTTGAAAATTTTAAAATAAATGTTTGGAAAGAAATACATCTATGGAAGCTTTCTCTGTTTTTCCCCAGCTAACTTGGGAAGATTTTTAGCTTCTTACATATGCTTTAATTTGCTGAAAACCAATCTAGTTGGGAATTCTGACAATTAGGAATCCAAAGCATCTAGAAGAGAATATCAGCTTATGAAACATAAAACATTCCCGCAACGTATTATTCCATCAATAATAAGGCTATATTGTTATCTCTCATGTTGGCAGATGGTTGTCATTGTGGACCCTCATATTAAGATTGATCCTCGTTATACTATATACTCACAAGCAAAAGCGAAAGGATTCTTTGTAAAAGATCGTAATGGTGAAGATTTTAAGGGCATCTGCTGGCCAGGTAATGAACTCTCTTTGCTTTATAAATCACTTTGAAGAAGCACGTAGGAGGTAGATCAAAATGGATTTTCTCATTAATTGTAATTGACCTATTAGAAAGAAATTGATATGTTCATTATCTTCACAATTGACAGGTTTCTCTCTATTTCTGCCTCTCTTCTTATTTGTGTCTTAACATTTGTCAGAACCAGAAGTGACAGTAATAAAAGGTATCTGTCTCATGTATCATGAAATTGGCTTGAACGTTAACATTTTCTATTATTGTAATAGGATATGACACACAAGAAAAAGCCAGTTTTGCTTTTTCTTCCTGAAAATATAATACAATCCTAACATCTGCAGGTCTCTCGTCATACCTGGATTTTACCAATCCTGAAGTCCGACAATGGTATGCAGATCAATTTGACTTCAAAATATACAAGGTTTGTGTTCTGTAACGATATGATCAGGACCCACAGAATATTACTATCTATAAATGTGATTTCTATACAATCTGGGTGGCTTATTTTTGGAAATATGGAAAAAGACAAAATCTAAATAGCCTTGGCAATTATAAATAAAATCCACCCAGAATATAAACTAAAGCAGGACATCTTCTGTATAGTCATCTCTGCGTAAGATATGTAGAGAACTTTTAGCTCATGCAAATTCCATTAGAGATAAAGTTGGAAATAAGAGGAAAGTACCATCTTAAATACTTTATTTGGTTTAACTTCTATTTGAATTGAGAAGGTATGTGAGATATCCACTTTCTGAATAAACCCCAAGAAGGAAACCTGATTATCATTCTCTGCTCAGTTGGATCTCGGGCACAAGAGACAGGCAAGATGACCAAGGAAAAGAAAAAGAGTACACTTTTCAAAGCAGAGTGAACAAAATAAATTAGTACAAGTATTTACATACAGTTCTTCTTCTAAACTAACACATTAAATAAGCTTAAATATTGTCCTACAGAGTTCTTCTGAAATTCTTTTTATCTGGAATGATATGAATGAGCCTTCAGTCTTCAAAGGGATAGAACAAAGCATGTCAAAAGACGCTATTCATTATGGCAAATGGGAACATCGAGATGTTCATAATCTCTATGGCTTTTACCAGGTAGGAAAAGTACAACTGAATTAACAATTATAATACTGGTAGTTATTATTATTCCATTGCCTGTACTTGCTGATGGTGCATTTTGTCTACGGTTGTCTTAATCAAAGTTGATTATAAATTCATTAATAAAAAACAGTGCCATTATAATCACAATAATAATTTGTTTTAATATTTTTGTACAATAATAAATTATTTTAAAATCTTTGTCGCTATTAATGTTACTTAAAAACAAACATCAGCAAAATATATTGCACAATATCATATTTTGTTCCAAAACATTACAAAGTACATGACTTTATAATATACAATGTCATTTTTTCCTTTCTTTCTGTTCCTAAGATGTGTCACTTCTGTGTTTCCTATTTCAGTATGTTTTACTCTGTTTTATCATTCCCGGCCCTCACTTTTTATAATTCCAATCCCATTGCAACATTTGCTTTAAAAATTGCTTGTACTGCATAGTGATTAAAGTGCTGAATAAGACACAGGACACTGTGAGTTCTAGTCCCCCCTTAAGAATGGGTATGAAACAGGTGGTATTCAGCAGGTTCTGACCAGTTCTGGAGAACTGGTAGTGGAAATTTTGAGTAGTTTGGAGAATTGGCAAATACCACCTCTGACTGGAGATTTTACAGTATTCTTCCCCTGCCACGCCTACCAAGCCACCCCCACAGAACTGGTAGTAAAAAAAATTTGAATCCCACCACTGGTATGAAAGCCAGCTGGGTAACTTTAGGCCAGTCATATTCTCTCAGCCCAACCCACCTCACAATTGTACGTAAAATGTCTACAGAGATTGTCAGTCATCCAGGTCATGGTTGTCCCAAAGGTGCTTTTTCAAAAAGCAACTGGACTTTCTTTGTTTTTTCTTGAAGACTTTTTGCTTCTCATCCAAGAAGCTTCTACAGTTCTGAGCTGAAGAAGCTTCTTGGATGAGAAGCGAAACGTCTTTAAGGAAAAAAAACAAGCACCTTTGGGACAAGCACGTCTTTAAGGAAAAAAAAACACGCATCTTTGGGACAAGCACCTTTTGAACAAGCACCTTTGGGACAGTTGTGAGGAAAATAAACCACCCTGAGTTGTTCAAAGTAAAGATGGGATATCTAATATAACAACAATAATGGTAATAATAATCTTTTCAGCAAATGGCAACCGCAGAAGGGCTGGTGAAACGAAGTAGAGGACTGAAAAGACCCTTTGTTCTTACCCGCTCTTTCTTTGCTGGATCGCAGAGGTATGGTAAGTGTCGATGAAGACTGGTTTTTTGTCTGGATTTAACCATTTCTAGGCAACTCAATGATTTGAATGAATAATTTGCTTGAAAGTAAAAGAGATGCAAGTACATGTTTTCTTAAGTTTTCGTGGGTACTTACATGTATGGTGTTCAGTTTTGTTCAGGTATTTTCCCATGTCATTGTAGTTGTGCTCTTAAAGTTGTAGCAACGTTTCGGCAGAATCTCATCTGCCATTATCATGCTTCAGAAGCCTGATGATGGCAGATGAGATTCTGCCGAAACGTTGCTACAACTTTAAAAGCACAACTGGCTTGAGTCCAAATGAGATCCATGCCATTCTGTTTGCTTATTTCTGAAGGATATTGGTGAACTTCATTTTTAAAATCACCTTTTTAAAAGAAAATGCATTGATAAACAAATCATGCTCTCTCTGTTCCCACAGTCGTGACAGTCATGCTACGTGATACATTGTAAGATGTTGAATTTGAAATGTGAAGACATACAAAACACCTGACATGCTGACAAATGGAGAGTAGAACAAATGCTTTGCTGTTGTACTTTAGCCTCTTTTTACATGGCAAATGATTTTTTAAAATAAAAATATTATCTATTCCAGACCTTAATTGTTATAAGCTGCCTAGAGTCATCTCCAGGTGAGATGGGCAGCATATAAATAAATGCATGAATTAAATAAAGGTGAATAATGAAAATTATAAAAAAAATAATAATGGGAAAGCAAATTCCAAACTTTTAGGATGGCCGATTTTTAAGACAGTGAAAATCACTTAATTATAGAGACATCTAACAGGATCTTACGGAGTGCAAATTACATGGGTTCATCTTACTTGTGCTGTGTCACACATACAAAAGAAGTGGAATTTGTGTTGTATTAGCGTAACACTGCTTTTGTCATTTAGACACACAAATGTGCATAAAGATGCCCCTGCTGAATTACTTTCCCAAATATACTTACAGCCTTAAACACATATGTGTTCATATGTGAATTCATAGCATATTACATGGAATATGTGTTAAAAATCAAACCATAAAGAACTGTGAATACAGCTCTTCTTAAATCAGAAACAGTGTTGTAAGTAACTTAGGCCTTTTGCAGTTGTGTGGATCCATGGCAATACACAATTTTCATGGCAATACAATTTCCACATAGTCATTAACATTGTAAGGCCGGCAGCATATACCTGAAGTGACACAAAGTATGATATATATTTGGAAGCAAAGCCCATTTGATTCAATTGGCCTTAAAGCTAAATACCGGTAGCGTTAAGATTTTTCCCCGTGATCTGCAGGTGCAGTGTGGACTGGAGACAATAAAGCAGATTGGAGTTACTTGAAAATCTCCATTCCAATGTTGCTGACAATCAGCATTGCGGGAATTTCTTTCTGTGGAGGTAAGATACTGTATTTAAATCTTTATCAATTCCCAACTGAACAAATAGCCTCCTTTCCTCTTGCAGAAAGCATACCATGTTCCATTAAAACGAAATAAAAAGTAGTAAGTGAAACTTCCAAAGTCTTAAAAGAGACTCGGACATTTCAAAAATTGTTTGTTTTAAATTAAAACAAGTATACATTCTTCAAAATGAGTCTGTTTGGTCTTAGGATATGCTCTATTAATGAATGCGGAGAATCCAAGAAGTTTGAATTTCTCACCAATTTCTGACAAAACAATCTTTTTCTGATGTCCAGCGGATGTAGGTGGATTTATTGGAAACCCAGAGCCAGAACTACTGGTTCGATGGTATCAGGCTGGGGCTTTGCAGCCTTTCTTCAGAGGCCATGCCAATATGAAAACCAAACGTCGTGAACCCTGGCTATTTGGGAAGAAGAACACAAAGATCATCAGGGAAGCTATTAAGGAGCGCTACTCCCTGCTTCCTTACCTTTACACGTTGTTCTATCAGGCACACAGCATGGCTGAACCGGTTATGAGGTAAGCCGGTCGTTGAAAAGATTTAATTTCTGCTTTATGCCAAAATATTTCTAACAGATGCAGAGTTTTTGATTAGATAACACATAGAAATATTGATGAAATATATATTGAAATGCAGAGCTAGCATAGATGCTAGTTCACTACTTTAGCTGTGATCTCTTAGGACATCATCTGTGTATCATGAGCTGGTAAAAAACAGGCCAATGGTAGGGTTTCCTTAAAACTCATTGCATTCTCTAGGATTAAATGAGGTTTGGAATACAATTCCTAATCAGACTTTCAAGAGCTTATCTTAATTTCAATAAATATCGTTTTAGTGCTTATCTGTAGTGGTGATTTCTTGGCTTGGTCTATCTAGTAGGGCTGAAAGCAGTCTTGAAAGTCTGATTGTATTATACTACTTCCTCTGACTTATAGTTAGGAAGGTATCTGAGTTGCTTGTGAGCGGGTTCTGGATGTTCTGGGTTTAATGTTTTATCCCTTGTTGCTTTGGCAACAGAGTTTGAATATGTCCATCAAGGTCATCTTCCTTACTCTCTATATAGCAACAGATTTTAAAATCAACTTTCCATTTAGTGCTCTTGGGACTAGTGTACATTAGCTTTGAGGGGACTGGTGGCTTTTCTTAGTCTTTGACTGGCATACGAGGGACCAAATTCTTAAAAAAAATGGTTGAACCAGAAAAAGTCAGGGGAAAGGATAGGACCAAAGCTAAATTAAATTTGTTTAAAATATAAATAAAGTTGATAAAACATAATTTATGATTCTTTCTTATCAATTTGACAACTTTCCCCTTATACCACATTTGCATTATAATTTTATAATTATTATAACTCATGTGGTATAGTGGTGATTAAGGTATGGCCCAGGAGCAAGGAGAAGCTGCTTCTAGTCCACCTCAACTAAGGAAACTCACTAGATGATTGAGCTGTCAAATTCTCCCAACCCAACCCATTTAAAGGGTTGTTATTCAGCTGTTGTCATTGTTAGTCAGTGCATCTTTTAAACTGAAAACACAGCATTTGTTCTATGTGTTCAGTTTCCAATGAGAATGAAACTATAGATATAAATATAAATATACAGACACAGACACACACACACACACACACACACACACACACTAAGATATTTTAAATAGTTAAAATAACAACTTTAATGCCCACATCCAAAGCGTGAACTTTTAAGAAACTATAAATAGATGCAGCATAGGAAAGTAAATTATGTTCCCTAGCATTTGTATGAATAATACAATGCCTTTGTTTTTCACAGACCTCTCTGGGTGGAATTTCCAAAGGAATTAGAAACTTTTGACATTGAAGATGAGTACATGCTTGGTAAATTTAAATTATCCATAATGTCTTAGTATTTATTATGAAATTGCAACTTTATGTATCCCATTTATTTTTTTTCCTAATTCTATTATTCCAATTTATATAGCCAATTTTATAAAAATTGGAGGAAATGCATATCATTATATTGATTAAGGCTCCTCAGAGTTGGCTGGGGCATTATAGATGTAAGGTTGTTTTTTCCTGTGGTACTTATAACCAATCTCCTTGGGTGGCAGAGTTAATCAAGTAACACAAGATGTTCAGTGATGGACACAGAACCTGAACCTAAAGGTCTTCCTTGGAAACATAGATCATATTTATAAATAACTGTTTCAAATTCTGCTCATTATAGGAGAAGAAAAGTAAAACGGATACATTTTTATGTTTTTAATTTAGGAAGTGCGTTATTGGTACATCCGGTCAGTGCTCCAAAAATCAGTACAGTCAATGTCTTTCTGCCAGGCCCACAAGAGGTAAGAGAAATGGAATTAATTCCTCCCTCCCAAACACACACACACACACACACACAATTTTTTCATTGACATCTGGACCAAACTTGGCTAGCTAGGCATTTCTGTTATGATAATTAAATTATCAGCATACAAATAGCAGCTTGCACTATTACTTTAATAACCTCAGGCAAACATTTGTTTTTCTATCAAGAAGTGTATGCAGTACTAAGCCATATTTTTCTAAAAAGTCAATAAGAATGAAAAGTAGAGTCGTGAACTAATTTTCCTTCAGTAACATATTATCTATTTCTAGATCAGGCAGGGAGGGTATAGTATGGACCCAAACAGTTAAATTATTTTGACTGACAGGGCTTAGGAAGAGAGGCTTCTCTGTCATTGTCCCCATCCTATGGAACATCTTGCCCCCAGAGGTGAGGTGGCTCCTACTCTTCTGGCCTTCTGGAAGAGCATTAAGACCTTTCTGCCAAATAGCGGGGGGATCCAAGAATGGTATCCAGTCCTGGGCATGGTTGGTGGCTTGAGAGAACTCCCTCCCCCTTTTAAAGTTTATTTTGAACTCTGTTTTTAATTCTGTCTTACTAACAATTTTTATATGCTTCTAATCCGTAAATTTACCAAGTCACTTAGATAATGAGATGGGTGGTGCATAAGTTTGATAAATAAAAATAAATTTCTAGATAACGTATTAACTAAATAGTTTATGGAGCTGTATTTTTTCTAGAATAATCTTGGAGATATAAAGAATTGTGATTCCTCAAACAATGCTTTCCTTGATATTTGAATAAGGTATCAACTCTGCGAAATCATTATAATGCCTTACACCCATCATCAGTATTGAATTCGAAAAGATTTTGACAATGCCACTTTGTTTCTGGGCCTAGTTCAACATAAGGCTTTGATTCTTTGAAGCCCTTTAGAGCTTGAATGTGCTCATTCCAGGAAACACCTCTCACCTACTAAAAGAGACAGCAACAGAAAAGTTCAGATTCTTTTTCATGGTTACTTTTCAGGAGAGGCAATTTTTTTGCACTCCAGACATTGTTGGATTTCAACTTCTCTGGGAGCTCAACTAGACAGCAACAATAATACGCTTTCCTCCTCTATTTGAAACAGATGGAAAATACACTAATATGAAAACTGCTTTCTCTGCAGCCAGATTTTTATCATACTTTGCCAATAAAACTAGTAGCCTCATTTTCCCAACAGAAAAGAGCCCAAGTTATTCATAAGGCTTGGATTTCAAAATTAGGGCCAATTTTCTCTTCTTCTTCTTCAAAAAGAAACTCTTTTTTTTGTAAAGAGTCCTCTACTCTATTAGCTAATTCTAAATCAGGATAATCTGCTGCTACCTCAGAGAAGGGGTTGGAAAGACTACCAATTTTGCTTTCTGGATTTCCATTTATGGCCAATTGCTTAAATTGTTGAGTGGGAGTTTTGAGCTGAATAAATGTGCATCTTGTTTTTAAGAAAAATGTAAATTGGTGGATTCAGTTATTATAGTTGTCCTAGTGAAAACTTACTGCTCTCAACTTAATGCTATTTTATGTGTTGTTTGCTACTTCTAAGTTATTTGAGATTTATGCATTATTTATTGATTTGATTTTCTATAAGGGTTCATATGGGATTTCTGTATCTGAAATCTAATTCCTGCTCAATTGTTTTCCTTTTTATTATTTGACAGAACTGGTATGACTTCCGAAAATTTAGACGTCTGGAAGGTCATGGCATATTGAAGATCCCAGTCACATTGAATAATGTATGTGTTTGTTTTAACTTTTTTTTTTAAAGCTTTATATTAATTTTAATTTAATTAAAACTGGAGTTCTGTTAAGGGAGTTGGATAATTCTAATTTAGTGAACTTTATTGGTTTAAATGTAGAATTTATAAAGATTTAAATCTAAAATGTGTCACTACCAATGTTCTGAATCAAATAGTATATGCTAAGCAGGACCTAACCAGAAAAAAAGTATTTCACTGTCTACTTCCTTTGTCCAAAAAGTATTTTATTGTACTTATTTACTGGCTGGGTTCATACAACCACAGTTGTATGGCTTTGGCTTTGCATATTTTATGAACTGAAACATTGTGATTTGATTTATGGTTTAGAGTCCTCATCTAATGATAGTTAATCTAATAAGCTATAATTGTCTTAGTGCAATGTGTGAATCCAGCCACCATTTATTTTCTTTTTGCAGATTCCTGTGTTTCAACGTGGTGGGACTATTATACCTCTAAAGATTTCTGTAGGAAAATCCACAGAATGGATGTTAGATGTTCCATATGAACTGCGTGCTGCCCTAGATGATAAGGTCCTCTAAAACTTTTGTACACACTATTTATATACAGTTAATTTTAAATGTATATAAAGTTATTTAAAATGAATAAGTATCATTCTTCAGTATTGATCTCTCATTCTCCATTTTAATGTCAATATGATTTTGGTTTTCATTTCTTTAATTAGCAATAACTAAGACTATAAGAAAGTAAAGCAAAGTGGATTTTGCTGTGGAGTATCATAAACGTTCCCAATAAAGTGTCTATGTTTTTGTATGTGTTTTTGTGCACCTTGTGATCACCGAATGATCATGAATTTGATTATAAAATAGTTCTGTGATTTGCCTGGTGTATAGGGATGTGCAACAGGTAAATTATACCTGGATGATGGCCACTCATTTCATTATCTCCATGAGAAACAGTTCCTGCTCAGAAAGTTCAGCTTCCATGAGAATGTCCTCTCCTCCAGGTAAAGTATATAATATGGAAGGAAGATTCAGAAAGTATTGATTATCATAGGCTCTTACATTTGCATTGCTCATCAATTTTATACTTCAACTTTAAAGACCAACAAACTGCAACTTTCAGTTCCTTGTCCCGAAAATGAATGGTTGGGGTTACTTTCTTTCACCTATTTTGAATCACAGTTTGTTTTACTATGATTCCTTGATGTACAACCACAATTCAGCGCAAAATTTCTGTTCCTAAGTGTGACATTTGTTAGGTGAATATAGCCCCATTTTATTAACTTTCTTGCCACAGTTGTTAAACGAATCGGTGCAGTTGTTAAGTTAGTCACATGGTTGTTAAGTGAACCTGGCTCCCCCGTTGACTTTGCTAGTCAGAAGGTCACAAAATGTGATCACATGATCCTGGGGACAATGCAATCATCATTAGTATGAGTCACTTGCCAAGCGTCTGAATTGTTATGATGAGACCATGGGAATGCTGCAACAGTTGTAAGTGTGAAAAATTGTCATAAGTCATTTTTTTTCAGTGCCATTGTAATTTTGGTCACTGAACAAACTGTTGTAAGTGGAGGACTACCTGTAATTCGCTCGTATATATCTCACACTCACTGCAAATCATACAAACCATTCCAACTATGGTGTATGAATCCAGCTTGTTGAAGAACCAGAAAATCCCCTTCATCTTGTCTTCCAGCCAGGTTCTCTTTCAGTGAGGTACTTGTACCTGTTTCTTCTCCCTCCCAAGAGTATAAAATATGGGTCTGTACACCATGTTGGAGATTCTCTTGGCAGCTCCAAAGTAGCACCATGTCTACAAAATTTTGACAAGTTAACAAACGTTCTCAGTTTTTTTTCCTGCCATTATTTAGAAGGGAAGGTACTATATTCCCTATGGAACATTGTCATAAGAAGTCAGCATTTAATAATTAATACGCTGTCTTTGTTTTCTCAGATGTGCTAGTGAAGAAGGGCTATTCCAGACAAAATGTATAGTTCAACAGATAATGATTTTGGGAATAAAAAAGAAGCCCTCTGTTGTGACAACAACCATGTTTGGTAAGAGACAGAAATAATCCAATTTCCAGCTTATTTGTTTGTTTCCACTCTAGACTCTCTAGGATCGTGATGGCGAATCTATGGCACGTGTGCCACAAGTGGCATGCAGAGCCATTTGTGCTGACACACGAGCCGCAGGCAAACTTACCTAACTGCGCATGCCCGCGCCTCACAGCTGATTTTTTTTGGGTTGGTTGGAGGCCTTTTTCGGTCTCTGAAAGGCTGGGAAAAAGCCTCTGCAAGGCTTCTCAGGTCGAATTATAGGCCTGTTTCGTCACTTCCTGTAATACTGGAAGTGATAAAATGGGCCTATAATTCAGACTGAGAAGCCTTGCAGAGGCTTTTTCCAAGCCCCTGGGAGCCGAAAAAGGCCTCAAACCAGCCAAAAAATCAGCTGTGAGGTGCAGTGCAGGTAAGAGGGTGGGGATTGCATGCGCAGGGGGCATGGGGAGGGGGCATGTGCATTGCATTCTGGGTGCTGGCATGCAATTATGGGCGTGCTGGCACGCTCGCAATTTTTGGCACAGGAGCCCAAAAAAATTAGCCGCCACTACTCTAGATCATTTGCAGCATTGCATTTCTCTCGTTGGAAGAAACTGGGTCTATTTTAATTGTTTTATGTGGTCACCTTTCTCTTAAATATGACTCTGAGTGACTGACAAAGATTTTAAAAAATATAATGCAGAAACAATACAAAAATAAATTTCACACTCCCCTAAAATACAAAGTAGTTGCCACAGACACAATTCGCCAACTCTGTGGGCTCATTGATGCTAGCCCTTCAAGGCTTTCTAAAGGTGAGCAGAGTTGAGACTAACTAAATCTTGTGTGGTTTGATATTCCAGAAAGTAGCTATTTCCTGGGTCTCACTAGATGACAATTCCTGAATTAAATGATCTGCACAGAATAATGTGCATTTGGTTTACTATAACAAAATTCTTCTTTAATACGCTCCATTCAACTGGGTTGTTTCCTAAAGACAAGATGATGTTTAATTGATAGGTACTACTGTAACTAACATCTTGAATTGCTTCCAGAAGTCAACTGGAGCTAATGCAGTTTATATAGCAGCAATGACAGATTAATATCACAAGAAGTGCCAGTATTGCTTGTGCTGCTACTTTTGTTGTTGAAGCAGTTCTACCACTTTTCTTCATTCATTAGAAGTAGACGTTTGAGTTGCTATGCAGAGCAGGTTGGAAGGAATGTTTGGATATTAGTAAGTCCTGAACTTGCCCATATCTCACCAACATATCTCAAAAGACCACAAGAACATTTACTTAAAGTGGAGAACAGAAGATAGTCCTAACAAGTGCTCACTCTGGAATCATTTGCTTCAGAACAGAAAACTTGATTACGACTTTGTTTTGAGCAGAAATACGACAACATTAATATGCATGGCTTACTTTAAATAAACGTTTATGTGTGTTTTTTAATTGCAATTCAGATGGAAAAGAAGACAAGACAGAGGCTTTCACATATGATACCAAAAAATCTGTGCTGACCCTTCAAAAACTTTCTTTAAACATTGGCAATAACTGGGAACTTCGTATCAAATGAAAACACAGCGTCAGATATGCTGATTCTGTAAACTGCTTAGAGAGGGCTGTAAAGCACTGTGAAGCAGTATATAGGGTAAGTCTTAAGTGCTATTGCTATTCAGAGAGGCAGATGAAAAACTGAAAAATAATACTTTGAACAATTTAGCATGGTTTTTTTAATGGATTTTTTGGAAATAGACCAAACCTCAAATTTGACATACTATCTACCGATTGTATAATTTAATTGATTCATATTCAAAATGTTCTTCATGGATGAAAACTTTTTGATATTATTTGCAAAAAAAAATGTTCCAGGAGAAAATTGGTCTTCTCTAGATTTTGCAGTTCTGTATTAAATGTTTATATTTTTAGTATACCCATGCAATGGTTCTTTTGCTTTTATAACACTTTTAAAGTAAATTATCTGCCTATGTTTTAATTGGTGCAATGTTCAGTTTCTTGGTGGATTCTTTTTAGCAGTTTGACACATTAATTCTGCCAAAAAGTTCTTAGAAAGAAGAAATATGAATGAGAATAGTTATAATAGGTATACCTCTGCCGCAGAGAGATTCTGCGTCATAAAGCATAAATGTATTTTTATGTGGGTGAAGACATTTTGAATTAATGAACTGAATTAATGAACTCTAGTCTCCTTTTAGCTGGTGCACTTCAGATTTGTTGGACTATAGAATCCCCATAAAAATTGTGAGAATCATCCTCCCATTATGTACAAAAAGAAACCTGACCAATGATATGATAAACTGAAAAGGAATAGCAAAACAGTATTACAGTAAGGAAACTAATTCATGCTTTATTTTGCTGAGCAATTAATATTTCAAAAAATTACCAAAAGGAACTTTTTCTGTTTGCAGAGCTAAGAGGTATAATTGCCATTTCAGTATTAAAGGGGCTGTATTTTAGGTGTTCAAAACGTACATAGTCTCGTGTCTTCACAATAAATGCCTCTTCTTTCAGAACATACCTGCTTATTGAAGCAGAACTAAGATATAGCTATTAGAATCATGTATGAGTGGTGTAAACATTTTTGATAAATATATTCTGCATAATAAAATATAGTTTGAAACATTATGTTTTGTATGATTTTATTTTGGGAAATAAGAATAAAGCAGTGGTGGGATTCAATTTTTTTTACTATCGGTTCTGTGGGCGTGGCTTGGTGGGCATGGCAGGGGAAGGATACTGTAAAATCCCCAGTCAGAGGTGGTATTTGCCTGTTCTCTGAACTACTCAAAATTTCCGCTACTGGTTCTCCAGAACTTGTTAGAACCTGCTGAATACCACCTCCGACACACACATACTTGCTTTCAGTTCTGTTTTTTTAATATAAGATCTCCAATTAAGAAAAGGGTGGGGCTGTTTTAACCCTCCTTCTCAGGTAGCCCCAAAACTCTGGGTCCCAAGAGGGATAAAAATGCCTGCTCACTCCACATGGTAAGTTCACTGTTCCACATTCATTCTATTTAAAGCTTTATAAGGCTGTGGTGTGTATGTGGATCTTCCCAGGGTGCAAGATTTTTCTGCCTAGAAACACAGCTTCTGGATTCCATTCACAGCAACCAAATCCCAAATAGAAGAAATAACTAGCTTCTTCCACATCAGAAGTATGCTTAGCTTCTGGATGCTTCCATAGAATTTAAGTCTATCAGCAGATGAGGCCTGTTTTTCTATAGAGGGTTACGTCTGGCAAACCCTGTTTGTCCAAAGAAATTACTAGCGCTGCACTTTAAGCTGCTAAATATAATTTGATCTTTGCTAGGCTGCTTTACATGGAATCTTAAAGAACTCTCCCACTTCATTCCACTGAACTATTTTGGGAACTGGTTTGAGAGCAGATGATACCACCACTTTCAGTTTTGGACGGGGGATTGCATAGGAGCCTCATGTATTACATTCCGTGATAAAGAAAAGGCAAGATTTAAAAATGTTGTTTGCATTTTTGTGGGCATGTCACAGCATACGATCTTGGCATCTGCATATGATCTTGGCTTTTAAAACATTTGCAGTTCCAAGTATAATGTCTGCTGAAAACGAATGCTAACAGTGCATCTTTATTGAGTTCAGTGGTAGTTACCTACTATGCCAGGGATGCCAAACTTAAGGCCCCGAGGCCGGATGTGGCCTGTGAGGTGCTTAGATCTGGCATGTGGGACCATCCTGGAAACAGCGAAGATTGTCCCGTGGTGCCTCTGCCAGAGAACGGCTATGTGTCGCTCTCCTGAACTCTGTTTTCGCTGGCAGAGGGTTGCAGGAGGCCGTCCCTGCCAAAAACAGAGGTTGGGAGCTAGTTTTCGCTGGCAGAGCGCTTGGGCCACAACAGGCTCCCCAAAAACAAGTAATCTTGAACTATCTATGCCCACCCTGGCCACACCCACCCCAGTCCCCCAAGGTCAAACACAACCCTGATGCGGCCCTCAATGAAATCGAGTTTGACACCCTTGTTCTTTTTTAAAAAAACATTTATTCTAGAAAAAACATTTATTTGACATACATTTAAAATAGACAAATCAACATATATATCTATACATATATACATTTTACAGCATATATTGAGCAATGGTTAATTTTTTTTTCCTTTATCATTGACATGATCTGCCTTGTTACAATAACTCCTTCGTTCTTTTAATGTTTTAATTTCTCTATATAGTTTATGATTAAATGCATGTCTTCTGTCATTTCCATAACTTATCCAAATATCAAATATTACCTTTTCTTTAACCACTCATACCAAATGTTCCATATTTCATAATAGTCACTATCTTGTTTATTTTTTAACAATTTGGTTAGGCTATCCATCTCAGCGCGTTCATGTATTTTTTTAATTACCATATCCTCTGAAGGAATGGAAGACAGTTTCCAATTTTGTGCGTAGGTTATTCTGGCCACAGTTATGTGCAAAATTAAATATTGATATTTTTCTCCATGTTTAAATCTATCATACTTAGCAGAAAGGTTTCAGGTTCAAGTTTTAAATTTTGTTTTGTTATATTTAAAATCCAATTTCTAATATTTCTCCAAAACTTCTGAGCACATGGGCAAGTCCACCACATGTGAAAATATGTTCCTTGAATGTAGTTACATTTCCAACAGTTGGGTGGTAGGTTGGGGAACATCTTAGCCAGTCTCGCAGGAGGTAGGTGCCAGCAATGAACGATTTTATATAAGTTTTCTTTATATGAGACTGGCATGGTTAATTTGTAATTTGTTTGCCAGATGTGTTCCCACTTATCTAATTCAATACTATGACCCAAGTTTTTAGCCCAAATTATCATAGATTCTGTGACTTTTTCTTCTTTTAATTTGTAATCCAAAAGATATTTATATGTTTTACTAATTGTTTTCTTTTCCTCTCCTAGCCATATTTTATCTAATTCTT